GGTGGCTCAAGTGGTTAAGACGCTGAACTGCAGGCTGTGGAAGGTCAGTAGTTCAGCAGTTCAAGACCCGGGTGCCGCAAGACGGGGTGAGCTCCTGTCTCTAGTTCCAGCTCCTGCCAACCTCGGAGTTCGAAAGCAAGAAATTGCAAGTAGATAAATAGGTACCACTTCGGTGGGAAGGTAACAGCGTTCCGTGCGCCTTGGTGTTTAGTCATGCCGGCCACATGACCACGGAAACGTCTTCGGACAGCGCTGGCTCTTCGGCTTTGAAACGGAGATGAGCACCGCAACCCTAGAGTTGGATTCGACTGGCTTTCGAGCAAGGGAACCTTTACCTTTACCTGTTCTTTAGAGGAGGCCTCCTGCAGCTCTAATGCTGCCATGGTCATAGAGAGGAGTATTAGTAGTTCTTAGGAATCTTATGGACTGTTCATAAATTTCTATTTTATTATTTATATATTTGATTTATAGCCCGCCCTTCCCTGCATAATAGGGCTCAGGGCAGGTAACACCAAGTCAACACTAAATTAAAACAGTACATTTCATCCTCCTTTTGACTGAAGGAACACCCCCTCTCTGTGTCCCATAGAGAGTGATCTCCCTCTCTCTCTATTGTAAAATTCCTTCCTGGCTGCCTCAGTGGCCAACTAGGTCTCCCTGTAGAAGAAGCTGTGTTGCCCAAATTCCCCTGCTTGTAGGAAGGGGGGGGGGCAGGAGGAGGAGCTGGGGTGGGAGGGATGTGTGTCTTCCATCTCCACCTTGCCAGAATTGGCAATCTCCTCCTGCATGGTTTGTCTAAGCAAGACTAGAATCCAGGGGGAAAACATCGAGGGTCTTGCTCCATGTACCTTACTTACGAGTAGACCTGGAGACCCACTGTTGGCATTGTATACAGCTGCCGCTGCAACTTAGTGCACTGAGTAGTTGCTCAGATGGCTCTCATTAGAAGCTATGTTACCTACATGGATTATGGAATGAGAAGGCACTCAGCAGCCTCCTGGACTCTAAAGAGAGAAGGAAACTGGAAGGTAAGAACAGCCCGGGTTTGCATATGTTACTGGAACACTGAAAATCTGGTATGTCTCTATTAGCCTGTTGTTACTCCTTTTCGAGTGTCGCTGTTTGTGAGGCCTGTGGATATAACAGGAATCTCCCTGCAGCCCCCCCTAATGGGCATGCAGATTGATTGCTGTTGGCTGCAGGTGTTTGAAGTAGCCCTGGTCTCCAGCAACCAGTTGTAACATGCCTTGTTTTTGTCACCCTCAGATTAAGGCAATCATGTTGGGGGTAGCATAGGAAAGCCTGCTATGGGTCATGGTGGCTCCTCTTGTGCCCTTAGGCAATCTCATTGGGGAAGCCTAGGCAAGCCTGAATAGGTCATGCTGGCTCCCCTTGTGCCCTGTCCAGCACCAGTGATGAGGGAAGTTCAGCTCCTTAACAGAAGAAAGCCCTCGCTGTCTCCTTGTCGATGTGCCCTAATATGAGTGGACTCCTAAAATGGCCGCCGCTGTTGAAGATAGCCTCTCTATATAACATTGTTGTTCTTCTCCAAAAAGGGTTAGAATATAGGGAAGAACAGTGAAAAAAATATAGGAAATATATAGTAGTAGTTAAGAGAGAGAAGATATGAGGTTGAATAAGGAATTTAGAGTTTTAAAGATTAGATGAAGGCAAAGCCTGATCTAAGCTGTTCTCCCTGTTGAGGCAGGAAAAGAACGGAAGAGGACAACTCCCACAGGCAAGAGACAGGAAGTTGAAAAATTGCTCCTGCCTCCGATTGGATGGTGGGAATCACCCAGCATAGGCTTACCAAGTGGCGGCGGGGGATCCGCATGTCTTCACAGGATCCCTGCCACGGGGACGGCAACGCACGTTGCACCCGCCGTCGCCAGGATGTGACGCTACGTGTCGCTCTGGCAACGGGACTCCAAACAGCCCCGTTGCCAGAGCAACGCATTGCGTCACATCCTGGCGACGGCGGTGCAACGCGTATCGCCGTCCCCGCGGCAGGGATCCTGTGAAGACATGCGGATCCCCCGCCGCCACTTGGTAAGCCTAACCCAGCAAGATGTCCACCACCTCAGAGGGAGAACATTCTATTCACAGACAGCTCTTGGGCAGCAGGTGATACAGTTTAGGGCCCTGTACAGAGTCTTATTTCCTCTTCTTCTTACATTTTGTGAGACAATCTCCTAATTTTGGAACATAGGGCTGCTACAGTTTGTCTTGCAAGGCTTCTGTGCTTTCAAAGCTGCATGATGGCCAGAAATTCAACAAACATTTCCAGTGTGAAAATGCTATGATAGGGAAAGTTTCAGTGGTTAAATTTCTGCTTGAAATGCAGCTGTCAAAACTACAGAAGCTCTGCCAGAAGTAAGGCAGCAGTCTGCTAGAGGCCTGTGTTTAAAGATGGAAAGTTGAACCTCCACTAGATGAAAGAACAGCTCTCTGTTTTAATACACGTTTTAAAATAAAACTAGTAATTGTATTAGAAATATGAAAACACAAAGAAATATGTCAAACCACAATACCATAGCGTTTAACTTCAACCTACACTATCAGCCATCATATCTGAAAACATTTACAGGCAAAGTTCAGTCACAGTGTCTAGACTCTGAAGTGATTATTCAACTTAAAATACCAGTAAAAGGGGAGGTCCCCATCTCTACAAGCTGTATCTCTGAGTACAGCTTGTAGGGATGGGGACCTCCCCTTTTACTGGTATTTTAAGTTGAATAATCACTTCAGAGTCTAGGCACTGTTCTCTATTTCTAATTGGTAATTGAGCTAGTGTCTTTTTTAAAAATTAAACTCTCATGAGAACTATTGTTTTCCATTTTCAGTTTTTTTAGGCTGTGTGGGAATGGGAGGATGAAACCCCTCCTCCCCTCACCCTCCCTTTGGCATTTCAGAATAGCGTTTCCACAGGGAACTCAGTTGGAGTCCTTCTGCAAGTCTCTCTGGCAATTTTGTGTTACATGGAACAGCATGCCCAGGCCACACTCACAACAGCCCTCTTCACGAGTAATACTGAATGTACATACATCCTGTTTGTAGGAAACGGACCAACCTAGGTTCATGTTACAAATGAAACTGGGGATCAGTATGTGGATAAATGTGGCGTTTAAATCACATGTACATTGTACATGTATTGAATGTAACTGAGAACTATTAAAAGTACATATTAAAAACTGAGTGAACTCTGTACACAGACAACAACCATGTACTTGGTAACTATCAGTTATAGTTCTTTCCTCCTCTCCCCCCTTTCAAACAGGCCGTACCAATATTTCCAGGTATTGTTAATTATGAAGTCGACATGAGCTGTAATTGAATCAATGAACAAAAAAAAAATGAGGTTGGTTTATAGTGTTCTTACCACAAAACCTGCTTCAATAGGCACTAAAACATGTTTTTGCAATTGATGCCAATTTTAATGAGATATCTCTTTAAAATATGAGAAAAGGGTTTAATGGTTGCAGCAGAATTATGGAATTCCTTTCCTTCCCTCTATCATTTACCTTCTGCCAGCAGGTGAAGTCTTATCTTTGTCATTTTTCATTCCTGCACTGATCCTCCTTCCTGGGTATGTGTTTTTAACTGTGTATGTGTTTAACTTTGTTTAACCCTAAGCAAGGTAGGAATGCTGCACATAAATGTTTTAAATAAATAATAAATGGCTTAGCCTGCATATGTTTTCTTGGCACAGGAAACTACAGGCCCTGATTCAACATGCCATACTGGAGACATCTCCTTTAAAAGCAAAATGTTTCCCCATTATGTAGTTCATCATGTATATACTGAAGATACAATGTTATTTACATTTCTCAAATTTCTCAAATAATATTAATAAAACAACTGTGTAATCCTATGCAGAGTTACTCCAGGCTAAACCCATTGACTTCAGTTGGCTTGGACTAGAGTAATTCTGCACAGGATTACACTCAATCTCCCAATATGCAGGCATCTATAAAAGAAAGCTCTTTTGCCTTATGTTTTTTTAAAAATAGTGATGTACTATATACTGTTTGAACCGGGTCATTTGTTCAGCACTGAGAACCACCAGTCAGGTTATTCAGAGCATGTGTAGATGGTAATCTCATTTGGTGGAAATGCACACTAAATAGACACTGCTGTTCCAAATTCTACCTAATAGAATAGATACCATGCTTTAGGAGGGTTTTTTGAAGTTGCTGTGTGAGTTGAACATATTAAAATCATATTTTATTAAATAATTTACTATATGCATATAACTCATCTATGACTTACAAATGACCTAGGTTACAAATGACCTAGATACCTTCAGTCAATACTTTTTGATCTGACTAGTCTGCACAAGGTTATTTTAGAAAACCTTACTGCAGTGACTGGTTTGAACATATCATAAGGTGGCAAGAATTGATGTAATTTTCAGTGGTTTTAATTAACATCTCACAATGGTGTTCTGTAAATGCCAGCTCTCACAAAAAAACCCTCACCACACACAACTGTAAGGACCAAGGTTCCCTCTAAGCTGTGGGGTCTTGTGAGCAAAAATTCTACCTTGTGAGCTACTGGCATTAAAGTTGTGAGCGAGCGATTTGGCTGCTGCATAAATTAATTTGCTCTGGAGCCCTCCTTCCTGAGCAGAGACAAAAATGTGTGAGCCAGAGGCTAAAAGACTGCGAGCTAGCTCACACTAACTCAGCTTAGAGGGAACACTGGTAAGGACTGTGTCTTATGAAAATTATGTGAAATTTTGGTCAAAAGAATTAATTCTGTTAGCAAGAGTACTAGTAAGAAAGTGGACTGTATCTAAATGCTTAAATACATTCTTGAGAAACAAACCAATGAAGTCAGGCCGATGACATTTTTTGAGGTAACTGTTATTCCAAGAAACAAATTGCTAAAACAGAATTTACCCTTTTTACTCCATGTATCTAAAACATTTAACAGTATTTACAAAATTACATTTGAAACTCAAACTTTAAAAAAGCAAAAAAAAAAAAAAAAAAGCCAGGACTTAAATTTAGTTAGCACCTTCTGGATCGCTGACCTTATTTTTGCCAAAAGTGAAAAACCTTTGCCTCCTCATACACTTATAACAAAGGTCTACTATGTTTCGGAGAGATTTGTGACGGAACACACCACCCTGGCTTCTAATCATTTATTCAATGATGGCTTTAGCTAAATATTGGTGATACAAATGCTACAATTCTTATGCAAGCCCTTTAAAATAAATGGAGATTTTGTATACTAATGTACAAGGAATTGACAATTTGTACAGCATCCTTAAGCGAACTGAGACATTTGGTTAGTAGGGAAGAGCATTTAAATTGATGCAGGTGGTGTGATTCACAATTTACAGTCGTCCAGAAGCAGACTAAAGAAGATCTGTGCTCAAAAACACTCTCTCACACACACGCAAAATAATTATTCAGGTAAATAATTCTTACCACAGAAGTTCCAAAACTGTAAGCAATGCTTCTGGAACAGTTTTATTCTGTAGTTAGCTGTGTTTCAAAAAAACAAAACAAAACCCCATGCTAATAACCATTTAGATATTTCATTAAATTAACAAACAGGCACCTAACTTAGAGTGGCAAATGTTTAAATCTATAAAAATAGGTTTAGAGTTAAGGCTCATATTCCAATTTTCTATTCCAAGTATCTAGTGATCTTGATGCAGAAAAGCTAAGCACCCAAGCTGCAACAAGGGGCTAGCTTACTAGAAGTTATGGTGATTCATAGTTCAAACAACAAGATCTTCTAACATGCTTCAGGTCAGGCATCTTAACTAGTTAGTTTTGAAAATCTTGGCTGATATTCTGTGGCTGCTGAAATAACTTTAACAGCTATTACAGAAAATTATTATTGAAACTGACAATTATAATAAGGTCAACAAAAAAGCAAGTTGAATTTTCTTCATTTTTCAGCCAAAAGCCAGATGGTTACTATACCAATACATCACATCTGCCATTGTTCTGCTTTGCAGATATTTTCCCTTAAGGATTTGTGTAGAAGAAATCATCTTGGTATATCCGCTGCCTGCAACGGGTCATCCATCACCTTCTGTGAAATGTTTAACAGAACTAGAGAGCAATCTTCAATGCTACACTCCAAAACTAAATATTTGTTCGGTTCTTGCAAGTTCAAAAGCTTTTCTCCCCATCTCCAGCTTTGTCTTTTTATTCCTTTGAAACAGAAGGCACAATTCTGGAGCGAGATAATACAGTAAAGTGATTGTCTTATATAGTCTACAAAAGTTCTCAATCCAACAGATTAAGATCTCTGTCCTACAATCAAGCAACATCTTCTAGATAATCTGCTACACCACTTAACTGAGAAATGGTAAAGTCTTGTGTGAAGTCTTCAAGCTAGGAGATAAACAAAGGAAAGTGTTATCAATTATATGATTTCAGAATCTTTTATAGCTAAATTGTTCTTTATAATCCCACCACCTTTTAAAAAGTCTTATCAACAAGATCTTAGTTGTCTCTGAATACTTTAGCTACTCTAAATTTCCAGCAAAATAAAAAAACAGAACACAGAAGTAGGGACGGGCATGGACCAGATCACAGACCAAATTTTTCCATGAACCACCCAGGTTTCTTGGGGGTTCATTTGGTCCATGGGAACAGTCCATGAAAGTGGACTCAGAAGGCATTTAAATGTCTTCTGAGTCCACTTCTGCATTGTGCTGCCGCCACTGTGCAATGCAAGGGAGCTCCAAAGGCATTTAAATGCCTTTGGAGCTCCCTTGTGTTGCGCTGCGGCAGCAGCATGATGCGGAAATGGCATTTCCAAATGCATTTAAATGCATTCTGAGATGGAACAATGTGGAAGTGGACTCAGAAGGCACTTCCTCACATCACGCTGCTGCAACAGCAGCCACAATGCAGCTTGCAAAAGCCATTTAAAGGGATGTGTTGCCTTTAAATGGCTTTTGCAAGCCAGCCCCCCATCACAGACCTCACAAACCATGAACCGGTTTGCAAAATGGAAGTCTGTGAAAGTTCATGGTTTGTGAAACCCAGGAACCACGAAGCTCCATTTTTTCGGTCCATGTGTATCCCTGGTTGGAAGTATCCTACTAGAGCCCAGAGAAAATTCCTCCAGCCTAAGGAGTCTTCCTCCGACTTAAACAGCTCTTCCATTGGAAGAAGAATCAAGCTGAAGAAAGGCTCCAAACTTTGCTTAGTGGAGTGGTAGGATACAGGCCAATGTACTAAAACATTATTTTAACCATCATATCAGAGTCAAATTACTCAACAGACAGATAGTTGAGGACATCTATTAAAACCCCCATGCAATCAAGCAGCTTATTCATTAAATTTCAAAGGGGGTTAAAAAAACAAGGAAAATTAGAAGAAAGTTGATCTTAAACTTTATTAAGAGCATATGACAGACCAAGACCCTATTCACATTTTGTTTCATTGAAGCAAATCTCAACCACAAGAGTCTCTGGTGCTTGTACTCTGGACATGCACACCTCTTTACCACATGACAAAAGCATAGCAGAGTGTGCTTGGTGACATTCACTGGTTTGGAAAATCCTTTCCTTCACACACAAACTTTCAATTAGTGAATGTACTTGAGCACCAGGGAGTTCACACATTACGTCTTCTCCCCAGTTAGGTTGGTATTTGGTTGGTATTTCCCCCAGAAATAAACAACCAAACTGAAACAGAGATAATATATCCATAAAGAAAACTACATGCCTATTTGCAACATGGGAGCTACTATTCACATCTAAGAAATTATGAAACAGCTTTAATCACTTTTGCTTCTTCTAAGATTTTATTGTTCTTGATAAGAATCTGTTAGTTCCTGAAAATGGGGCAAGCACAAAGTTTATTATATTTAGTAGTAATTCATTTTGTAGAAAGAATTACAGATGGATGGGATAATAATTAAATTGTTTTGATCAATATAGTTTCTCACAATAATTATGCTTGCAAGATGCACATAAGAGAATAAAAACAACTACAATTGTATAACCAAATGGATATATTATTCTGTATATAGATACAATGGCACATCCACCCCTGCATAAAGTAAATTCATACTTTATCACTAGTATTGAACTCATCTAATTCCACAGAAATATCTTCTATTTCTTCACCAATACTGGCTTCGCTTTTCTCTGAACGTTGACTGGCACTAAGGGGAAAAGTTAAAATAATGGAAACAATCAAGTGTTATGTGCTACCATATTCAAATTATTTGTTGACTGAACCAATTAAAAAGATCCACATAAAACAGAGTTAACAAACTAGCACCCTAAATCCTAGGCATCTTTCTTTGAAGCACTACTAATTATGAAGTATACTTCCATAGTACATTTACTGAGAATTGCTGATTTAAGCAACTGTAATTGCTGATTTCAAAGTAAGCCAGGTAATAAAAAGCTGTATCAAAATGCTGCCTAGAACTGCAATAGTAAATTCTACATTGACAGGTGTTACTGACTTGTGTATATAATGACTATCTGAAGCACAAACAGAATATCAAGAAATTAATAAAAGAACAGGTAAATCTTTCAAGAGTTCTTTAAAAAGGTATATTTCTTTAAGATGTAACTATATGAAACAAGAGCACTTCAGACATAGTAGAAGTTATCCTAGCTTTATGTAAAGCTGATGAATTGCTTGCCTGGAAATCCAGCATTCCAGGAATTCATGTTTTCTTCTCTCTTACCTGTTGAAGTCATCAGCATATTCCTCTTCATCCCCTGTTAGTAAACAGATAATCATTTTATTACAATACTGACATTTTACACACACACACACACACACACACACACACACACACACACACCAGATAAAGAGTATATCATGGCTAGTATCCGCTAAACAAAACAGGTTGTTGGGTATTTTCTAAAGAAAAACTGCAAACTCATGCGTAAGGCTAGTGGTTAAACCAACCTAAGCTCACATGTTTTTGTGAAGAAAGGTGATACAGAAGTGTTTAATACAAATTAAGTAACAGAGGTGCTTTCAGTGTGATGCAAACTGTTGCATCAAATGTTGAGGCACTTGATAGCACTTGAGGGACATGTTTCAACTATGCACTGAATTAAGAACTTTTACCCAAATAATTACAGAACACTTGGGAGTCATATGTCAATCCAAAACAAAAAGCTCAACATGCTGTCCTTCTGAAAAGCTACTTGCCTAGTTCAAGTGATCCAAATTTAGAATTCACCATCTTTATGTCTTTCAAAATTGAGTTTGCACCTGTAAATCAGAAATAAACAAGATAAAAAGTATGCTTCTTGCACAGCCTGCTGGACATTTAACTAGATGCAAGAACAAACCAGTTATGCATCCTAAATTATACTATTATGCTATCTAATGTTATATTTTGAGCAGTCACACTGTTGCTTTGTATAGTACTGGAATACATAGTTACTTTACTGAACAAAATTAATAGTCACAACTGAAAGTGGCATTTAAAATATTCAAATAGAAAGCTAGGCTTCTACTTTAATGAATGGACTTCTTAAAATTCAATTTGTAATCCATTTTTAATCTATTATATGGGGAAAGGCAGAATAGAAATGTAATAAAATTAGTCTTTGTGAAAGTTTCTGAAACTAAAGAAGCCATATTTATTTCTATCCCACTTTATAGACCAGTCAGGACCTTAAGATAATTAAGGCGAATCCCACAAAGTACAGTATTAAAAGGACAATTACAAACAATAAAAACTAAACCAGTTACTGCAGGCCCCATAATCCTTAAAATTCATTTGAGTTCAATTTAACAAACTGCTTCAAGTAGCCATCCCCCACTGTCAGCCATCCCCACAGGCACTCTGAGAGCCTGACGTCAGCCAGAATCATAAGACTCCCTTGTCCCTTTTTACTCTTAACAGGTTACCTCGCATTTCTTCCAAAAGAGGAACTCAAAGTCCACTACTCTTACTACACAGTTAGCATGCTGGACATCTACATCATGAAAATTTGATATTGTAGCACAAGTTTTATAATATTTAACTCACGACAGCACAATTTCTTATTCTTGTATTCCTCTCCAAATTCAAAGAGGATTTAAACATTATACTTACTGTCAGGCTCCTTTAATGGAGATGCTCCAATCAAAGAATTAAGACCACTGTTTATGGGCGGTGTACCAGAAAGAGATGCAATATTTCCTTCTTTGCTAGAGTCATTTTTCCTTTTGGTAAAACAAAAGAGCAGTGAGGCAATAATGTTCTAACCATTTATCTTTCACTTATAAGAGTATCTCACAGAACAGCAAGCAGGCTATACAGTCTGTACACCAAGCCAACAAAAGAAGTGCTAGTAACATCCAGTGAATAATAAATGATAGCTCCTACTACCAGCTATGCTGGTTGAAACTCTGCATAGGATTCTTACCTCTCCCATGATTTCTGCCTGCCTTCAGTTACAGGCAGTTCCTTGGCATCTTCCACAGTATCACTATTCACGTCAGAGGATTTTTATAAATCCAGTAAGTGAGAGAAACAACCAAAAGGAAAAGATTCAGATACAAATATGAAACTGTATCTTAACCAATCTATAACTTTGAAATCACTTTTTTTCAGCTGAACAGGCAAATCTAAGGGAAGAAGGTCTAGAAAATGTATCGAAATTGTAGAAAATGCTCTCAAGCAACAGCCATGTGGGTTGCTTTCAGTCTTTCCGTTTGCTTAAAGCTGAATATTACACACACACACACACACACACACACACAGAGTACCCTCTTGTGTCCCTGGGAATATGGGATTGCACATGTGCACTGGAGTTTTCACTCCTCACAGTAGTTTCCCTATGAGGAAAGGTTAAAGCGCTTGGGGCTCTTTAGCGTGGAGAAACGACGGCTGAGGGCTGAGAAACGACATGATCGAGGTTTATAAGATTATGCATGGGACAGAGCAGGTAGAGAAAGAAGTACTTTTCCCCCTTTCTTCACAGTACAAGAACTCATGGGCACTAAATGAAATTCCTGAGCAGTCGGGTTAGAACACATAAAAGGAAGTACTTCTTCACCTAAAGAGTGATTAACACATGAAATTCACTGCCACAGGAGGTGGTGGCAGCTACAAGCATGGATGGCTTCAAGAGGGAATTAGATAAGCATATGGAACAGAAGTCCACCAGTGGCTATTAGCCACAAGGTATAGATAGGAACTCTCAGGCTGGGGCAAGGGATGCTCTGTATTCTTGGTGCTTGGGGGGGGGGGGGCAACAGTGTCCTGGCCCCACTGCTGGACCTCCTGATGGCACCTGGTGTTTTTGGCCACTGTGTGACAGAGTGTTGGACTGGATGGGCCTTTGGCCTGATCCAACATTGCCTTCTCTTATGTTCTTATGTTCCTAAGTTTCTCATTTTGAGCAGGAATCAGCTTCTGAAGCACAGAAGGCTACATTTAGAAAAAGAGGGCATATGAACTGCTGCATGCATGGAGCTTACTAGCTAGCGTAGTGGCATTTGGTACTGGCAACCTGTGCAGACACTTTAAAGCCATTAAGACATCCATTATGATCAAATTCATCTTCACATATAGACACAGGAACAATTCTGAATCAGAAGATTTCTTGTAAGTAGAAAACTATTTCTTAATTTTGGTTTTCACTGGTCTATCCAAGTGAAGGAATGCATTAATGGGGAATTGCAGGAATTCCTTAGTAATCCAGCAATCCATTAATCTGTCCTTTCTATGCAATACATAAGACCCCAATACTAATCTTATGTATACCAACTTATGTATATGTAATGGTATACTCCAGTTTAGAAATCCTGACAAATCCATTGCCTAAAGGAAACACTTAAACAGACATACATTTCACTTACCAGCCATATGTTTGCTCGGGTTTTGGTATGGGATCATCAAAGAAGGGATCGTCTTCTGCATCATCTTCCTCTTCTGCTAGGCTATTCTTTTCTTTGGTATCTAGGTCTCTGTTTGGTTGAGAAACTAATTTTGCTTCATTAGGTAAGAAGTGAATAATGCCTTTACTCTTTGTTTCTCCAGATGAGATGGTTGTATCGCTTTGACTGTTTTCAGTAACCTTAAAGAAAACACAGATCCTTCTAAGCAAGTCATAGAGTGTTTCTGTTAAGCAGGTCCCTTGAGCTGTAATCCATTTAAAGGTATGGAACCAGAATGAGCAATCACAATGTATTTCCTAACAGTTTGTTAAAATTCCAGAATCTTGTAAAGAAAGCAAACCATTTTTAAAAAATAGCTTCTCATTTATATTTCTAAGCTCAAGTTTATGCTTGCCCCCAAATCCATTTTACATTGTAAACATGAACAGGTTTAATTGGAAGATTCTGTTTATGAATCATTGTTCCATTACATAAGTACCTGAGCTGATGTACAAATGTATTTTTAAAAAAACCACTACAAATAGAAGATCAATTAAAACTATTCAATTAACAGTAAAGTTAATAGAATACAATAATCAGTACAATGGCTGAGTGGTATATATACCGTATTTAGGAGTTTCAGCTAGATTTTGAGAACTGTTAGTACAACTTCTGTATAAATGAGTTTGGATTATTTTAAAACAATTTTGAACACTAGACGTATGCTATGTAAATGCCCTAATCAAGAATGCACAGAAGTTCCTGGGGTGTGTTTGTCAATTTCCACAATGCCACCTCCCTACTGAGAGAGGTGGCATTCTGATCCCTGCCCTTGAGAAATTTCTCTATTGCATTCCTGGAGCTTGCATTTCCAAGCCCCTAGATTCACACAGAACTTTTCCTGTGGGTGGGGGTCAGAAAGCTGCAACTGGGAATCCTAACCCCTCTCCTCACAGTTATGTGGGCTGAGGTGGAGCCAGGTACCATTAGGGGGGCAGCCTCCTGAGCTCCAGTCAAGATCATTACAGCTTATGCTACAGTCTGAGTTGTGCACTCCTGCTCAACAGATTCAGATGCTTAAAACTGCAGAGTATAAATGATGGGTAAAATTACTATTAGTTATTCTTCTGTTTTTCATATAGACAGTTCTTCCTTAGGATCCATTGTTCCACTTACTACATGTAAAAGAATCTCATTAGAGACAGGAAATATGTCTTTAAAAGCACATTTGTTTGAATCACTAATGTGGAAAGCAACACCCTTTTCAAGTACAGCAGTTTAAAGGTGGAAAAAACTGTAATGTTCAGAATTACTCTGCTGTTCTTCTAGTTCTTTTTCTCTTTCAATAAAAATTGTTTTACTGCGATCTTCTTCCTCACAGTCCACCCTAATAAAGCAACAGGCAGAAAAGGAAGAATGTTTCTAAACTGAAGCAAATACAGCTTTTTGTTAAAGTACTGCAGACTAAACTTACCCCATATAGCACAAACTCCCAAACCAAACATAACAGCAGATCCATGTATGTGAATCCAAACAGTTGTAGTCATAGTAAGCTGTTTACTTCCCTGCAATCCCTCTCTAAACAGCTTTTTTTCAAAACAAGCTCATTTCAACACCAGAGCCCAGATGAAAGAAAGCAGGCCAGCGTGGGGGGGACGGGGACTATGAGGAAATAAACTGTATGCAGAGGATTGTGGCATTAATGGGTTAAACATCCAGATCTGTGGCTCGTATGACTAGATTGGCCCTAAGAAATCTTATACAGAACATACAGGCTTATAGAAAATGTCTCAGTGAAAAGAGCTCCTTTTATGGAACAGCCATACGTCCTCACTGTATGTGCTTACCAGCCAAACAGCACAGACAAAATAACAACCTCAGGCAAGCTTCACAGGGTAGCAGCAATGCACTGGATGCTGGACATTTCTGAAGAAGATGGGCCCAAATGAGCTTTATAGTTCAAAAACATCACAATTAATTGTGTTCAGCAGACTACAGAGAACCTCTGTAAATGCTTTCCAAAGACAATGTACTGTGTTCCAAACAATTTTCTTCCAAGAAGCAGCCTACCATATTTTACCACAGAGTTTCAATTTAAATGCAACCATGAAGAACAGCCCCATAAAAATATATACTAACAGACCAGCCTTCTGGATACAAAAACAAATAATGGCTACTAGAGTAGAATCCAAAGTAATTAATCCTAGTTTTCTCACCAGACAGATGAAAAAATATTTTTGGCCTATGTTTCACAATCTGATATATAAAAGATGAGGCCATCAAGTTAGGACTGCCTCAAGCCCATGCCCTGATTCACCTGGAGTGATGCTGAAACAGCATAGTAGTGGTGTGGCATAAGCCCTTACCTCTACCAATCCAATTGTGCAGAGGCTCAGTGTGCACCATTTCTCCCCCATGTAAAGGGTTCACACAAATGCTTACTATATGGCAGAAAGTGGGAGCATGCCCCACTCCCTTCACCACCTATTTCGGTGCTACTCCAACTGCATTATGAATTAGGCTGTCACTCTTCGTATGTTACCCTTCTAACAAGAGAACACAATTATCTGCATATAAGACCCACTCTGCTTAGTTGGGAATCCTGTGCAGGCTCCTTTCCAATTTGGGAAACCTGTGCAGGCACAGAATATGAATAGAAATGGTAGCACTTGCCAGAACAGTGCGGGGAGGGGGGGACAGCCAAATATCTACTGTAAAAAAATCCAAATGCATGCACAGTTCAAGTTTGCAATCTCTTCAGAAACAGAATTGCCTCTCACTATCAGTTGTAATTGTTCCTTGCTAGTGTACTAGGCTTGTTACCCCATTAAAGAAATCTTACTTAACTAATAATTTATGCTACACATATTTCAATGGTCAAATGACAAGAAGAGTAGGAATAAATGAACAATTCTCACAATGGAGGCAAGAAAGCAGTGGCATCCCACAAGGATCAGTATTTTAATTTGTTCATAAATGATCTGGAACTAGGTGTGAGTGGAATAGTATTCAAATTTGCAGATGACACAAAATTACTCAGGATGTGAAAACCAAGGATGATTGTGAACCACTCCAAGAGGATCTCCACAGATTGGGTGAGTGGGCAACGATGTGGCAGATGAAGTTCACTGTTCATATGTGTAAGGTGATGCACATGGGGGGGGGGGAATCCCAACTTCAAGTATAGGCAAATAGGGTCTGCACTTGTTGAGACTGAGAGGAGAAAAGGTCTTAGGGTCGTAGTACATAGCTCATTGAAAGGGAACGCTCTTTTGAAAGGCTTCGCTGCCGCCGCCACCAGAGAAAGGGCCATTGGTAATTACCGTGAAGGGTCCTTCTCCTCTGAGATAAGGAGGACATCTTGATGAAAGTTTTGGTTCCTGCCTCCCTAAGGATAGGGTGGGAAACACCCATCAAGATGTCCTCCTCTCAGAGGGAGAAGGGGAGGGGGTGGGGGGAAGGCTTGGCCGTCTGGCGGCTGTAAGCCGCAAATCCCTCGCCGCCACCACCACCACCACCGCCCAGGGGGGAAGGAGAAAGTTTGGCGAGCGGAGCTCCGGCCTCGCTGCCACTGCTGGGGGGGCTGAGGGGGGGGGGCGAAAGCTTGAAGCCTCGCTGCCGCTGCCAGGGGAAGAGAGAGGGAGAAAGTTCAGCGGGCCGACAAGGCCTTGCCGCTGCCACTTGAAAGGGGAAGGTTGCAGGCTTGCCGAGCTGGTTTTGTGGGCCCGGCAGCTCAGATCCGCACGGGCCTCGCCGTCGGGGCCAGGCAGGGGCGGGGAAGTAAGTAAGCAAGTAAAGGGAGGGAGGGGAGGAAGGAGAAAGGTTGCCGGGCTGGCCTCATCGTCACCACTGGGGGTAGAGGGAGGGAGAAGGATGGGCTCACCTGATGGGTGGGTTCTCTCTCCTGCCTTCAGACCGCCTCCCACTCAGCAGAGCCCCACTTAGGCCGCATCTCCGTCTCTTTAAATCGCCTTTCTTGTGTTCCTCCCCTCCCTCCCTCCGATGCCCGGTTGAATGGTTCCGTCTACCTGTCCCCCTCCCCCACGGCGCTGTGAATTCAGCCTGGCCAAGAGCAGGATAAACCAAGTGAGGAAAGGAATGGGGGGGATGGGGAAGGATGAAAAGCTGGAAGAGACAGGCGGCCGAAGACTTTGTGCGGCCCGCCCCTGGACGGCGAAAACTCTGGCCTGATTGCTCGTGGGACAAGCAACGTCCCGCCCCCCTGGCTGCTTCTCTTTGGGCACGCCGCCTTCGGAGTTAGGTGGGGAGCTGGGTTAGTCTGTGTAGTCTCCCCGATTGATTGACAAAGGAAGTTTGGGAGACACCAAAAATAAAGAGAGAGAGAGAAGTGCTGGGAGGAAAAGGAAAGAGCACGTGCTGGAGCTCTACGATTGGTGGATTCTCGGTTCGCAGGGGTGGAGGAAGATGCGGATTGGCTGGGACGGATGTCTTAGAGTTAAGGACCGCCCTTTCAGAACGCGGGTCCAGGCAGAGGCTGAACTGCTGTCATATCTGCTTAGTTTTTGCAGCTTCTCTGTTACTCCAGTGATTTCTCACCGTCACCACTGGGGGTAGAGGGAGGGAGAAGGATGGCCTCACCTGATGCCGCTTCTGCAGGCCGGGAGCTGTAGGAAATACTCCCCCCCACGAGTATCGCGGGTCCCGCCTCTTGTGACTTTCTAATTTTATCCAGTCCTTAATCCAACCTAGTGATGCTGCTTGATAGTATAACTTCCAATTCGGGACACCAAAACCTCCTCTTTCTTTTTTATTTTGTAACAGCTTCCATTTTATTCTGGCTTTTTTCGCATTCCAGATAAATTGTCTTGTTATCTTATCCAGTTCTAGAAAGATCTTTGTTTTCTTTAAGACTGGAATATTCTGAGCTAAAAATAGGAACTTTGGGAGTATTTTCATTTTTATTGTGGCTATTCTTCCCATGAATATGAGTATTTTATAATCTGCATAAATTCACAGAATCAGCACGTCTGTCAGATGGCCATCTAGCCTCTGCTTAAAAACCTCCAAAGAAGGAGAGCTCACCATCTCTTGAGGAAGCCTGTTCCATTGAGGAACCACTCTGTCAGGAAGTTCTTTCTAAGATTTAGCTGAAAACTCTTAATTTCAATCCACTGGTACTGGTCCAACCTTCTGGATGGAACTACGCTCCATCTTCTATATGACAAACCTTCAAACTCTTGAAGATGGCTATCATATCACCTCTCCATCATCTCCTCTCCAGACTAAACACACCCAGCTCCTTCAGCCTCTCCTCATAGGGCTTTGGTCTCCAGAACCCTCAAAATCTTCGTTGCCCTCCTATGGAAGTGTTCCAGCCGGTCAACATCATTCTTAAACTGTGGTGCCCAAACTTAACACAATATTCCAAATGCAGTCGAACAAGAGCAGAGTAAAGTGACACCATAACTCTGTATGATCTGGACACTATACTTCTGTTGATGCAGCCAAGAATCTCATTTGCCTTTTTAGTTACTGCATCACACTGCTGACTCATATTCAATGTATGGTCTATTAAGACTCCTAGACAATTTTCACATGTACTGCCAAGACAATTTCCCCCATCCTATTAATATGCACTTGATTTTTCCTACTTAAAAGCAGAACTTTACACTTATTTCTGTTGAAATTCAAAATTCAAAAGCCCAGTTTTCCAGTCCAGTATGTTAGCCAGTTTTCCAGAGGCAATAAGCCTCTGAATACCAGTGCCAGGGGGCAACATGAGGCAGGCTTTGGCCTCTGCCCTGTTGTTGGACTGCCAGAGGAACTAGTTGGCCAGTGTGAAATGGCGTGGTGAACTAGAGAGACCACTGGTCTGATCTAGCAGGGCTGTTCTTATGTTTTTATGTACATGAGTCAAACAATGGTTCTGAAGAAAAAAATGTCTTCTGTTTTTAGATGATACAACAATGTATGATGCAGCTGACATCTCAGAAGAAACATCTCCTCCTCTCTACCTGCAGTTTTTCTAAGTACTTGTATTAAAAATCATATTTTTAAGAAAACTGCTGCCCAGTACAGGGGACACCTTTCTTTCTTAGCAAACAAGCTCTCTAATCCTTGTCAAATTTTCTTCCAAGAAATCATGGGGGATGAATTTTACAAATACCTGCCAGCCCTCACACCATCTCATATAATGACTTTTTCCAGAAAACCGAAATTTAAAAGTGGCCAGAAAGTCATAACAGATTGAGACTGGTATTAGTATATTTGATTTTGCTCAAGAATATCCAAAGATTTATAATTTACATTATTTGATTATGTGCAAGGCAGATTACAATTAGACATAATAGTCAACATTTACCCGCATTCCATGTTTCTATTACTTGTTCACTTATCAAGACTAGAAGCATTAAAAGTGTTTAAAAAGTGTTTTGTTTGACAATCTCTGCCCCATAGGCTTACAATATTAAAAATAAAGAACAGGAGACCAATGACCAGAGATTCTTAATCTTACCATCTTCCAAAGAAAGGCACTTAAAGCCCCAGCCACTAAAGTCAGATTTTCATGAATGGCCTTTTTCACAACCATATGGGTTTAACTTGAACTGTCATATCAGCAGCAATTATCAACAGGAACAAAATTTAACCAACTCAAAACTAGCCGGTCCTATCAATTAAAATACAAGTGATCCTGGTTTTTAAGTAGCAAATAAATTATAGGAGGCTACAAATGGTGCAGACTCCAAGAGGAGATAGTCTAACATCATTAGCCTACTCATCAGCCAGATTGTACTTTCAAATATTAGGACAGCAAACCACCACCACCCCACACAAAACCCTATTACCAATTACAAGAGGGTTTATTATTAAAGAGATCAATGCTGCAGTCAGTGTAATGATAGTGAAATATCTACTGAACCCTGCCCACTCTTCCAATATAGAAACACATATAAAGTACATAATAAGCATAATTTGCACATACATACAATGCTGGTGTCCATCCCCAGCTCTTGGCAACTTGCTTGACTTGCTGCTAGCCATGACTGGATAATAGTGTTTGAGGCTGCACAGCTATTCCTCCCAAGCCTTAAGAGCTAAAAAGTCAAAGACTATTAATCTGCTTCAAATATAGATCCCAGTTACTAGTTGCTTAAGGCCTGCAAGTTGCCTTTCAAAACTGAGAAGTCTTTGGATTCTTTATAGTGCCATGTGTAAATGACCCCTCAAATAAATCAAGAAGTGATGATACAAAGTAACCTGTTACCGGGGAAAACAAAGCTGATCTACTTAGAACAGGGGTACCCAACGTGGTGTCCATGTCTGCCATGGCACCCGCCAATACCTTTTCTGGTGCCCACCAAGTGTTTTTAGGAAGTGGGTGGCGCCAGTTAGGGTTTTTGCCCAATAGTCTGATTGGCTATGCAGATTTTTAAAAAGATGTTGCTTAGGCCACCACAGCAGAAGAATCTACACTGTGTTACTGAAGTTAAGATGTGGCAGTCATTTTGTGGCTGACTCCACCTCCTGTGGCAGCCATTTTTGGCAGCCATCATGTTGCTATGCCCATCATGCCGTCAGAATTCCAAATGTGCCCACAGGCTCCAAAAGGGTGGGGAGCCTTGATTTAGAGAAAAGGCTGAGGAAAAAATATAAAATTATCTTATACAAAATGTATATAAGGGCCACAAGGGCCAGCTGCAGTCTCTCATACATATGCAAACACACATACTCTAAGATTATTAAGGAACAGGACATGGACATGGTTTTAATAGAACGCCCTGTGGATGTTTTAATAGAGGTACTGTATTCTGAAAAATCAGTCAATTGTTCACTAATACTGGATGTAGATTAAGCAAAAGTTTTAAATCAATGTATCTAATTCTCAACCCGGCCAAATCTGTAGATACTTAAACCCAGAGATTGTAGCCATGAACAGAAAAGACAGATCCTTCCCAGATTTGCAGGAAAAATTGAGATCTAGACCCCCCAAACAATAGAAGCAGCACCTGTAGCTTTAAGAAATAAATGCTCTTGTTGGCTGTTGCTAGGCAACCACAACAGTATGGCCAGCCTTTAAGCCTTGATTTCTGTCAGTAAAAGGCAGGGGAGAGGGCAGGCCCTTTCCAGGGTTGTTTTGGCCTTTGAGGGATGACTCATTGAGACCAGGACCAGTAACCACTGGGTGACTGCTACTTCTTGACTTGCATGACTCACCCAAGCCTGGCTACTTGCTACTGTTCAACAGCTGCCACCCCATAAAAGCCAGTCTGAGTTTCAGACTAGGGACTGGGAGACCCAGGTTTGAGGCCCCACTTGGCCATGGAAGCTCACTTTGGGCCAGTTAAACAATCTCAGCCTAATCTACCTCACAGGATTGTTGTTAGGAATGGAAGAGAGAAGACTGAAGTAAGCTACTTTGGGTCCCCATTATGGAGAAAGGCAGAGTATAAACTAAGTACATAAATAAATACAGCTGAAGATGGTGGGGGCAGATAAAAGTAAATTGGTAGGTGGGTGAGAAAGAGGGAAAGAAGTAGAGAAAGAAGCAGGTAAAGTGAGGGTATGCCAAAATGAGGGAAAGAGGAAATACTGTAGGGAGAGGGATACAGGGGAAAGTGAGGTGTCTTCCAGAAATCCTGCAGGTTTAATACTGCTCAACTGTGTTTGACCTGGTGGCCAGCACAGTGCAACTGAGCAGTAGTTTTCCCAGGCATAGGCTGCCATGGAAGGGAAGGAAGGGAAGCTGAAAACAAGGGGACAGATGAAGGTAGGTTGGCTGGTAGGTGTGAGGGAGAGAAGGAAGAGGTTATAAAGGGAAAGATAAAATAGTGGGAGAGGGGAAAATAAAATGCCCTCTGCAAGTCCTTGCAGGTGCCTACCCTGTTTGGCATTACAATACTATTAATAACAGTATTCAGTTGACCACTGATGAAGACTTGGTTGTTGAAATGTGTCTGTTCAAAGTTCGTGCATTTAGTTATTTTATATACAATCACAGTGTGTGAGATTTTTATATTTGGTTTTGTACATACATTAAATTATATTATTTTAACTACATTGTTCTGTATATTTGTTTCAGACCAGTTGGCCCTTCTAGCCTTTTCATATCTTGTAAATTAGAAAATTTTATTATTCTTCCTCAACATTTTTTGTTTCTCTGATTTTTGGGTTGGTTGCAGGTTCCAGTTTCCTTTTTTTACAGTATTTGAGCTTATTTATTCATGGAATTTGAAGGAGTTACATTCTCATTCAGAGTGTCCAAATGCAAAGTTAATTTGATTGTTTGACTGTTCTATCACAAAATCCAGGAAAAAGTAGGGCAGGCAAACAGTTAAACACTCCATAAATATCCATAAATTTGATTTAATAAGGGGTTTGCTTGTTTTTCAGTAATGAATGCAGGATTGTGAATTTTGTGCCTTGGAATCCATGTTAGTTTTATATATGTATTTAAATGGTTTAACAAATTGCATTGAGTCAGTTGCATTGATTTTTAGTGCAAGCTGCTCTATCTGAAAAGTATAACTAGAAACACCTGCCAGTTTCTTCTCACGCAGTTTACCTGCTCAGCCGTGTCCAAGCACTGTTTCTTTTTACGATGTCCTTTATACCTTGGTATCTGAGCACAAGAATAAAATAATGGCACAAAAATGAAAACAATTTATACGTGGCTTGTATTGCATGAATCTAGACTCTTAAACAACTTATATAAGGAGACAATGTAGATATATCGAAGTTTTGACTGTCTCTGCTTGACCAGTGGAAGATGTTACAATGTATTCTTAAAGGAACTGCCTAGCATTTAAAAGACATCACTGTCTTAAACATACAGCATATATAAAGAGGTGTTAGAGATAGGGACATGGACAGACAAAAAAGTTTCAGGAAGCCTGATGTACAAAATGCTCTTGCAAAGTCAAAGGATTCCTGTTTCACCATATTATACTTTACAACTCAATCAACTTTGCAGCATATTAGTTTCTCTAAGATGGCAGCATTCATATTTGGCAGTGACGCAGCCACCTTACATATGGCTCCAACCACCCCAACTTGGATAGTTTTACTCAGGTACATCTCTGAACCTATTCAGTATGGCGTCATTGTAAAGCTATATGAACTGCAACAACCCTGAAGGATATGGACCCTGTCACCTTAAAATGTTATTAAATTTTATCAGCACATGCAGGGAAACTGCTGAGGGAACATCTTACCAGCCGCTGAATATTCCAACTGCATGTTTGTCTTATAGTATTAAAGTCAGGCCATGGTCAGAGGCATGAGCCAAAGGTCAAGAACCCACCACCACTTAATGAGCTGACCACTGGATTCAGAACCTGTGAATGATTTGACTTGTATTCTTTTTTGTTTATGTTTGGTTTGCTTAATTGTAATGTATTTAAATTAGATATTTTTTTAACAAGTGACAACTGATGATCATTGTTTAAGGTAAACATATTTGTTGCCCTATACCATTATTTGCCTTGTTTTCCTAATAAAACGCTGCTGTATATCTCAACTGTATTTCTCAACAGGAGAATGTGAAACTGTTATATAGCGTGACTTAGCGAATCCTTTCCACATGTTAACTCAGGAATATTTAGTTTATTCTGAAAAACTCAGATCAAAAACTTATGCCAGACCATAGCGATTCAGACTATTTGAACAAAACACTCCTATCACTCACTGTGAGAAGCTATATGCAAACTGGTTTATGCAGTTTCATGTTAAATGCCCTTAATGCTAATGTCACATTCCAATCTCTCACAAGACTGTCTGAACCATATCATCAACAATTCTTACATTTTTTATTTTCAGACTTTTTAGGAGTTTTGTTCAAACACCTTTCAACTTTTTTGCAAAAGTTCAGTGTTTTCTAGCAACCAAATGATGGATTGTATATCCTTTGTTTTGTAAATCAAACCTTCTTTCAATCATGATTTTATGATTTCTTCATAAAAATGTGGCCATTTTATTGTCAGGAAAACATTATTAGCACTTTGGGAAGTCGAATCATTCTTGTGTTCCCAAATGAAGTCTCAGAGCAGTAGAAATGACATTTATATTACTAGCCACAAATATTCAGGGCCCTCAAACTAAAAAATCAAAGGGAAGCCTTTTATCTGATTTTTGAACTTTTCAAATGTACTGCCACCTTGCGTTCAATATTTTCTCACAACAAGCAGCATTAAAAATATTTTATAAAGTACTTAAAATCACAAGGTGCTGTATGAAAGTAAGGCTTACTCTGTAATCCTTGCCTTCAGGCTTACAAAGTATTGATAGTATATTACCAAGATCTTCAAGTTCATCTGAATCACATAAGACTGTTCAGGAACAACAGGAACAACTCACTCAAAGTTCTCTTCCTCCACAAGTCTACAAAGTTTTCTGTGTAATGGCACTTCTGATAAAATGTAGGTAACAGAACCATACACCATCAATCCCAGTAACTGAAATGCACCAATATCAGATCTAACAGGCAACTGCTATGACTAAAATCAAAATGACTTTGGACCATGTCACTTTTAACTTGTACACACTAAAATGTAATGCATGCACAAACTAAGCATTTTTAACAATGAGTACATGATATAGATCTGTCAGGGAGCCAGGATTAGCCACAGTCCCCCGACATGCACATGCCTGCTGACAAATGATTGCTATGGGGCTCCCTCTCGGACTCCCTATGCTCTGGGCACGAAGACGTCTAGCTCAACAGATCCAAGCAGTAGGCATCTGGCTGGCCGCTGCTAGAACAGAATGCTGGACTACATGGACCTTCAGCTTGTTCGGGCTGATCTCCCTTTGTGTCCATTAGCCCTATCTATGTACTAACAAAGAACATGCATATCCCAAGCCCTTTTGCATCTAACCCTGTTAGCTAAACCCTTGCAGAAACACATACATTGCTAATTAAGTTAGCAATCAGTGTTCTTCAAGCTAGTTTATCTATGACATAAAGTACATTAAAACAAGAAAGAAGCTTGTTAATACACTCTGGTTTGAGTCCCATGCTAAATTTCCACTAATGAAAATGGAGGGCAATTCCTCCTCCCTCAGCAGACGTGAAACTCACCCTTCATGCTGATCCTAGGAACCCCCCGTCCCCTAGGAGGAGCATTTCAGGCTTCAGTAGATAAGCAAGACCCATTCCAATAGAAATGACTTTTTCTAGCGGAGATTTATTATGGGATCCAAGCCAACATGTGGTATCTTCACATAGGTCAGTAAAGAGAGAAACAAAAGGGTTATAAAAGAACACACAAAACCACCAATATGTATAATAACAAATAATTAATAAACAAATGCACCCCTCCCCACACACAAACACACACACACTTAAATAAAGAGAGGCATGAGTTGAAATACATTCCTGCTCTTTATTTACAAAATCAAATTTGCTGCTGGAGAGCTTAACAAGTTTTGATTTAGCTAGCACAAACAAACAAAAATTGCATTTCTCAAAGCAAAACATGATACCGATCTTGATGTAATCTGATGCTTTGGACAGGCAGGATCAATCCTGTAAATCTGAAAGCCTCACCTCCTACAACATAGAGCTCACTGACCATGTAACTCAATGAAAATCCCAAACCTGTTTTATGTGCAAATGCATAAAGCTGAGCACAGCTCATCAGGCCTTGATATACTGCTGAATTTATTTATTTAAAACATTTCTGTGCCGCCTTTCCACGCAAACAGGGCCCCCAAAGCAGGCAAAATCAAAATATTTCAACATTACAACAGTATTTAAAATAAAGTGTATATATAATGAAACAATTCAATAAAACATATAAACACACACACACAACACAACCATGGAGGAAGACCAACAACAGTTAGTGAGTGAACACCAAAACAAAAGTTAAAAAGTCTTCACCTAGAGAGAGAGCAAAGTGTCCGGGGGGGGGGGGGGAATTCCAAAGTTTCAGCACCACAACCAAGAACACCCTTTCTTTGGTTGCGACCTGTCTAGCCTCAGATGGCAGAGTCACCCAAATCAGGGTCTCTGAAGATGACCAGAGTGAAGGGGCAGGTTCATATGGGAGTAGGTAGTCCTTCAGGTATGCCTCAAGGCTCATATAGAGCTTCAAAGCTCAACACCAGCACCTTTAATTAAGCCCAGAAACAAATTGAGAGAGAGATGGAACAAAACAAGATGGAACAAGAATGGTCCCTATGACCCATTCTAGTCAATATTCTGGCCAAATCCTTCTTTACCAGCTGTAGCTTCTGGACAGTTTTCAAGGGCAGCCACACATACAGCGCACTATAGCTATCTAATCTCCATGTTAACAAGGCATACACCAAAGTGGCAAGATCTTCCCTGCTCAGGAAGGGCTGCAGCTGGCTTACCAGCCAAAGCTGGTGAAAGGTACCTCTGGGCACTGTTGCCACCTGTTTATCCAACAGCAAGCCCAGGTCCAGCAGCACTCCCAAACTATGAATTTGGCTTTGGCTTGGTGGGTCACAAGCATGCCCAAAATAAACAGAAAGTGTAGTTGATAATGTTCATTTTTTTGTCTGGAATTTCCTTTTAAACAGCCCATAACCCAAGTCACCAGACTGCTTTTTGAACATCAGGGTTGGTGCACTGGGGGCCACCCAAGGCAGCTGCTGGGGGGGGGGGCGCAAAGGTGGTGGCAATGCACTAGTCTGCTTGCCCCACCAGTTGGCAGCACTCCCCCTGCACATGGCCCCATTCCTGTGCCCTCGCCACTCTCTTCAGAAGCCAGAGGAAGATACTCTGTCCCAGCAAGCAGCCCACCCTGGCAGTTTCAAAGACTACCAATTGGAAGCATGTGCTGGGGAAGGTGGCCGTGGTCCTGGGAGGGGGAAGGCCATGCATGGCCAGTGGTGTTCCCACTGGGGGATGCTGGCACCATTGGCAAGTCAGTCACTCCTTACCCGGGCTGATGGCAGGGGAGATCCTCAAACTGCCGGCACGAGCATGTGGATGCTTCTACCACAAGACGTGTGCCTGCACCCACTCAAGGTAGCCCCTTAGGTCCTGCCTCCCAGAAGCCTCTGGTGATAGCTTGGGGTCTTGTACCCTGGCCCAGGGACCCTCCACAATGACCCCTCCAAAGGGAGACAGGAGGCATTACTGCATGGTGATATTGTGGAGCATGGAGCACATAGCAAACAGCTTGGCCACTGCCAGAGGCTGCATGTCTCTGTGGCCCCCTGTGTGGTGGAGGCATTGTAACTGCATTTTCAGCTGGTTGAATGCCTGCCCAATGACCCTGCATGTTTGGAGATGGGCTTGGTTGTAAGCTGTGTATTCTGGTGGGTCATCCTTGGGATACAACGTCAGCATATATGGCAGCAGGGGGTACCCTTGGTCACCTGCAGGAAATGGTATGGGAGGCATCAGGAAAGGTGCCCTTCATTCTTTGCCCACTCAGGCATTCCCACCATACTAACCCAGGAGCCATCCTCTGCCCTCCAGCCAGGCAGTCAACAGGCAGTTCAGGCCAGATGCTGTGAAAATCTGGGTATCATGGATGCTGCCTGGGAACTCGACCATAGGGTCTGCAAAGATGCTCTGGTGGTCACAGGAAGCCTGTACATTCAGGCTGTAGAAGTGGTGATGATTATGGTAGACCTGTGGCTACTCCTGGGGGACAATAAGGGCTATGTGGGTGATGTACAGAGCCCCCATGATGTTGAGGAAGCTGCCAAATGTTGTGAACCCTGCCCTGATGGGCACCAACTCTCTCTCCTCAGTGGGGAACTGCACATGCTCCTGAAGGTGGGCAAGGATGGCATTCCGAAAGTTGTACAGGCAGTGGCTAGCCAAGGACTAGGACACCTCAAGGACCTGTGACACAACCCCCTAAAAGGATCTGGTGGGCAGGAACCTCAGGGAGAGCAAGACCTTCTGCAAGAGGGGATGGCACGGGTAGTGGGACCTTGGCCCTGGAAGGCAGGACCCAGCTCCTTGCCCAGGGCCTGGATGGCGGCTCTGTCTAGGTGAAACCGATCGAGGCAGGTGTTGTCTAACAGATGGAGGGTGCTCATGTAAGCTCGTTACTGGTGGCATGGCACCTCCTGCGCTGTTGCTGTGCCACCCAGATGCAGAGTACTGGTAGCAAGTGAATGTGGCAAACCCCAGCATGGGTGGCAAGGGCCACATTCTTCCATGCTCCTGGTGCCCGCCCTCCTACTACATACTCCCTCTGACAGTGGCTTGGTGCTCGTTGCCTGTGGGCCCCTCCTGTCTGGTGATGGCCATGGCAGGGGCATTGGGGGGCAGGGCAGGAAGGGGGAGATCAGCTCACCTCTACATTCCTATTTGTAGGTGGTATGTCCACTGCCCCACCTAGTGGGGGGGAAAGTCACCACCAGCCTAACTGGACCAAGGTCAAGAAGGCACTGCTGGATGAGTTGGTGGTAGAGCATTCGAGCATTGACCTTGCCACCAGCAGGAGCAGCTCCACCAACCTCCAGGGGCCATGCCTTCTGGCACACTGTGGCAGAACAAGTGCCTCCCCTGGGACATGTTGTCCAGAGATGTTCGCTTTTAAGCACCAGAGCGATTCGTTTGGTCCCACTCAGAAGTGCATCTGGGTCCTCATGGCCAAAAGTGTCTGTGATGGACTGCACTTTTAAAAGCTTAGAAGTGCTGTACAAACAGGTAAAGGACTGTGAAGGGGTAATTTTTCTTCACATAGCCAGAGAGCCTTGAGTGACAGGCTGTTCCAAGAGATCTGATTGGTTAGCATCAGCTGAGCAGAGAAAGGCTTCTGAACTGGATGCTGAGGAGAATTCAGTCTGATTTCAGCCCTACCTGAGGAGTCGAGTACTGACAGTTCAGGAATTCAGCCCTGACTGTGAGCAGTTTAACACAGACAGGAGAACTGGGGGAAAGTTGGCAAGGAAGTTTGGGAAGTAGGCGAAAACTCCCATTTGGGCCAAGGAAAGTAGACAGATCTTCTAAAGAGAGAAGAAAATTTACTACCTAGTCAAACAGGGAGTTAGCACTGAAGAGTGCGAAGATCCCTAGTGTGGTGTGGTTAGAAACTGACTTAAGTCAATCAAAAACTTGACGAGTACTGGTGTTTCAAGAGAAGGGGTTTGGGTACTGGAAAAAACGTACCAGCCTTCTGAAAACCAAACGAATCAGAGAATACTTTTAAAAGATGTACTGGAGTGTTTGGGAAAACAGTGGAACAAAAGCTTCTTAACATAAAGATTTATGTCACTGTGAAAAGCCTAAAAAACTCTCATTAGCCTCAAACAAGAATGTGCATGTACTGGTTTTACCTCAGAAATTTCAACCCCTGATTTTACCTGACCTTTCTCCTCTATGTTAAATAAAATATTTTGCTATTTTTGAATTGCAAAATGCCTCAAATGCCATTGAAGTTGTTTAAGTTAAAGTGAGTTCCTGATCCTTCCCTCAGGTTCCTGGGCTGAGCTAACAGCCAAAATATCATACTGTGACACGGTGGGACAGCCAGAGTTCTTCAGCAATGAAGAACACATTACTAGGGTGTCAGTAAAAAGAAAGAAAAATGGAGGGAAAACTTTGCCTCTGAGGGAGGGAGGTGAACAGGGCAGACATAGTGTCCCATACAAGCAGGTAGTGGAAGAGGGTTTGCCCAGAGGAGAGGCTGTCATGCAGGCGGTGATCCCCCCCATGGTGGTAGGTGGCCATGGCACTGAGGTGCTGTGTTGTAAGTGTCATGGGCCCCAATACCACCTGGTCCCAGCTGTGGGGGCCGGGACCTACCACCCGCTGCCTTCTACCACCCTGCAGTGTCTTGTCAATTTCCACCCACCCCACAGGTGACTTGCAGGGCAGGGATGTTGCCACAGGGTTGTCCTCTGAATTCACCATGGTAGGCCAAGGATGCAGCAGCAGCCAGGGCAGCCATGGACTGCCCTGACCCCACAGAGGAGAGGGACTTCACCATCATCTTGCCCCAGTCTCTGCAGCCAGGGTGATCTCAGGACCTTGCGCCAAGGGCCCCGGTCCCATGTGTGTAGCCAGGAGATGGAACTGAGTGGTGGGGAGGAGAACAAAGGTGGCCAGGTTCCCAGGATGGCAGCCAAGGTAGGTGAGGCACTTCCAGGGGAGAGGTGCAAGGGCACCAGCTGCCACCTGGGAGCTCCTCTAGACTGACTGCTGTGTTCTCCCCCTGTGCCTAGGCCCCTATTCCCTGATGTTCAGTGCTGATGTTGTAGACCACCTATGTGGCCTAACCCCAAGGAGGCACTCAGAAATGGCAGCCTCCGTGGTCCTGCGGTCGCTGGGCATCACAGAGTTCATGGGCCCGGCTGCTCAAGGAGAGGTGAAACAGAGGACAGACCTGACATCTTCAGATGGCAGTGGCCCTGCCCTGCCAGACAGGTGTGGCAGTGGCAAGGGAGTTCCCCCTGGGGCAGGTGTTGTGGCTGCTGGTGCCCTGGAGGATGGGGGATTCTGGCCCCTTGCCAGGTCCCCAGGCATAGGGCTCTTGGCCAGCACAGCCCATTCCACTCACCTTTTCCTCCATGTGGACAGCAATTGACCATGAGTGGCTGGAGAGCAACTGTGAGTGGCTGGAAGCCTTTTCCAGGGGGCAGCAATGGATGGAGCAGCTGACAGCATCTGTGACGTCAGCTGCCGGGCACCTGGAGGGCCTTCTTGCCATTGTGAGGGACATGGCCACATCAAGCAGCTGCTGGGGGACCTCTCAAAAGTTATCCAGCCCCCCTGCACCCTCTCCTGCTTGCCCTCCAGCAGGGGTTGCTATGGGGACACCCTCAGCATTGTGGGTGCCCTCCTGGACAGCATGGCCACCTGTGAGCAGAGGCCTTGTCCATCATGTCCCTTGGGGTCCCTGTGCACTCTGTATGCAGAGCAACACTGTGGTGTCCCTGTGGTGTGGGTGGTTAGTGCCCCCCCCTGCACTGACAGGTGGCCAGGGTTTCTGACAGGAGCTGGTCTCTTTAAGGACTTTGTGCACTGCAGGGCTCCTGTTCCCTCCACCCCCTGCCAGTGACAGATGCTTGACTCAGCCCCCTCAACTCATGGCTCCCATTGGTCCTGCCTGCTCTGTCTATCATGCCACCCTGCCTAGCAGCAATGTGGCGATGGAACCCTGCAGCAGAAATGCCACAGACACCACTGTAGCAGTGCTTGCCAATGCTGTCAGAGCACTTTTTCTTCCCATTCAGCCACTGCATAACTTTACCCTTAGGGAAATGACTAGTGGCACCACTGTTATGTCTGCATTGCACAACAGAGGATTGCTCTGTTCATACTTTTTATTTATGGTTTTCACAACCAGAGTCATAAACAGCAAACCCTCCCCCCCAAAAAAGGAGAGTCTAAAAGTTACTACAAAAGTGATCATGTAACTTAACAGCTGCCAGAAATTTTGCCACACACATAATTGTTTATCTTTATCTGTTAATGCTTTCATCTCTGAACTGTTTTAAAACTGCAGCATCATTCTTGTTCAATCCAGCCTATCTGAAATTTACAATCATGATTGCATTTCATTAACCTATCCTCAAAAGCCTTACTTTCCTCTTTAAAAGAAGAACTATGATTTGACGAAACTCTCCTAATTACACAGCACACCTTTGGAACAAATGCTTTTGAGGATAAAGTTGATACAACATAGCATTACGGATTGTACCTAGAATATGTCACTACAACACATTTTCCAAAATCAAATCCACAGTGTGCAATGGTACACCAAAGCAAAGTTTCAAGTTACATTAAAAACAGAACAACCTAATCATAGTAAATTCTAACAAAAACTTTGATGCAGTGCACAGTTCTGACCTCTAGTACATTGTTTTGTGGCTGCTGCTAAGTCACTAAAAGATATTTTCCCTATGCTGTTACAAAACTAAAGATCTGACAGTCAAGCAGTAAAAGATTCTGAAAGTTTCAAACTGGAAAATTTAAAACATTTTTTCACTAATTATGTTTATTTTTTCTGTAGTTCTGACTCACCTTACTTGGCAATGGGGGTAAGTTAAGCCTTCCATCTGATGATTTTGGAGGAGAATGTACAATGCCAGATATTATGGGAACTACCTAAATCAAAGTTCCAGAAAAGAAAAATTTGAACTGCTTTATTAGAGCATAAAACAATAAGAGTAGATACTCTCCCCTCAAATGCAGTCTTAAGTCAATGCTTTACAAATATTACTCAATAATGTATTTGCCTTCCAAAGTTTATTCAAAGTATCTATAAGATATACATTTAAAGAAACTAAATTAAATGCTACAAACAGGGGACCCATGGGATCCCATCCCCCTTCCTTTGCTTGCTTGCCTGCAGTGCTACTGCTTCTGCCAGCCCGGCTCAAGTATCAGCAGCAGCTTGGGCTACTACTCCAACACACCCCCACACACTGGCAGAAGCGCCACAGAGATCCATGGAAACATTCATGGGAGAGAGAGAATTTCACTTGTCCTCCCCTTCACCCCCTGCCCAACCCTAGCCACTTTGCTCACCTACCTGTTCTCCTCCCCGGCACGCTGCCTGCCTGCCCATTTCCCTTCCCAGTGTTCTACAGGAAGATGGGGGGCAGCAACTCCTGCTCTCCCATCCCTTCCTGCACCCACCTGACTATCTGCCTATCTGGTTCATGCAGTGGCCACTCTCCCTCCCCCGTCTTCCACTTGTATCATTTGCATAGACAATGCTCCTCTGTTTTGGGTGATTCACACCCTACCAAAATTAACCTTTCATGTATTTCTGCAAACCTTGGGATTACTCTAGGTTGTTGAAGTATCTCTTCTGGCCCCAATCTGCAGATTTCAATATAACTAATACTTAAATATATATCTATATATCTAATAGCCAAGGGTCCCTCTGTGTGTGGATATTTATTTCCGCAGAACAAGGGCACCTGGAGGCTAAAGAGGTTTTTCTGCACAGTTGGAGTACTCTCCAGGGTTGCAGAAAAATGGAAAAAGTTAAAAAAAAAATACACGGGGGGTTAACCCCCCAAAAAAATTAAAAAAAAACCTGAATTTTCTGCACTTGCGCAGTCCGAACTCGTGGTTCCTCGCATCAGACTTGGAGCTTCGCTCAGTGGCTGGCCTCCCCGCAGCCAGCAAGACAGCCTTGGGGTAATGGGGCAGGGGATGCCGACGTTGCCGGGTCCTTCCCAGGCTGCTGGTCTCCCCACCGCTAGCAGGGCAGCCCTGGACCCACGGGGCAGAGGATGCCGCCGCCAGATCCCTCCCAGTTGAGTGGCCTCCCCACTGCCAGAAAAACGATGAAGCTGCAGAAAAGGATGCCGTGTGTATGTGGGGGGGGGCAGACTGAGAAGGGGTGGGGGAAAGAGGACATTGTCTGAGAAGAACTGGAGTAAGAGATGGGTGAGACATACAAGTGGTGAGTGGAGAAAGGGGGTGAGAAAGAATTCCTAGAGAAGGGGGTAGGGAGGAAAGCTAACATAGAAGGGGTGAGAAGGGGAGGTGAGGGAAGATTGATAGATAAGGGGTGGGTGCAGAAAGACAGGAGAGAACTTTGATAGAGAAGGGGGGAGACGGAAGCAAAGGTGCGGGAAATGCCCCCTCACCACAAGTTTCTTGCGGGTCTCCTCTTGTATGTGTATATATATATATATACATATATATGCATTTTACAATCCTTACGTCTCCACTATTAGAAGCTCCTTTCTTCTGCTGACATCTTCTCACTACTTCCAGTAGTAAGGGCCCATCTACTGTACCTTCAGCTTCAATAATTCCCAAGTGTTGAGCTAAACTTTCTCGAGCTTCAAGCCCATTTAACTACAAAAAAGAAGAAGCAGAAGAAGCAGCAGCACCTCAAGCTGTCAACGCATTATGCAGACTTCCAAAATTCTATTTCCACCTACGTACACGTAAAATCATGTGACATATTTCTTCAAATTGAAGTTATTTTAGGACTTCATATTTTATAATTGTGTTTTTGTCCATTCCTACTGAATTGTTTTTAACTCCATTATAAGTAGTATACTAACAATTCTCAAGCCTTAGCAATCCGAGGACTCAAGACTTAGCAATCCGAGGACTTTTCATTACATTTTGTTCACAAACCTCAAAGCTCTCCCTTCCCTTGTTGGTGCAAGCTATGCATGTCCCATAGAGACCCTTGTCCCCAGGACAAACAATAACAACTGTATTAGCTACACAGTGTGTTCTATATGATCCCTCCACAAATATTAAAAGCATTTATTTGGTTTTCACAACAAAAACTGGTATGCAGTGGGGCAGTCCAAGAGTTGGGCAAAACTATATTGTACAGTTACTACCTTGCTTTCAAGAAATCTGAAACCTCAGCAAACATCACTACATAGATGCACTGTAAAAAGCAAAAGAAGGGGTCCCCCACTCCACACACACCCCTTAAAATTCTCAGTGATAGCTTCCACCACTGTGGCACTTTGATATCTTGGGTCACTGAAATACTATACATAAAGCACTGTGGATGTGAATGCAAATGTACTCCAGAGTTTAATGACACTGAATAAACCCAAAGCAAATTATTTAGTTGCTACAGATTCTATTAAACCAATACTGCATTTGATTACAATATTCAAAATAAAAATGAAGTATACTTACTGTGCTTGATTCAGGCTGAAAGACAGCCAGGGTAAAATCAAGATTGAAAAACTGAAGGAATTCAGTGACAAGACCGGCCACTAATCGACCTGGAAAAACAAATAAACAATGTTAAACATCCTATACCACATATTATATACAAAATTTGGATAGCATAATTTAGCCAACAAAACAAATTTTGGTTAAAAGTTTATACAAGCGTGATTTATTTATTTATTTATTTTACCCCACCCATCTCCCAGAATGGGACTCAGGGAGCTAACAACAGCGCAGTAACTACAATAAAGCCATAATTTCAATAAAATCCAATTAAAACTCAGTACACAGCTTTTACATTAAAAAAAATCAACAGCGTTGTTGGTAGAGTCCACCAGAATTACATTAGTGGAATGCCTGGTAGAATAATCCTGTCTTACGTGCCCTGAGGAATGCAGACCAGTCCCACAGGGTACAAGTGTCCACAGATAAAGCATTCTACAAAGTCAGGACCATGATGGAAAAAGTTCACGCCCTTGTTGCATTCAAATGAGCGAACTGAGGGCCAGGCACCACCAAAAGCCCATGTGCAGCTGAACGAAGACACCATGGCAGATCATAATGGGAGAGGCAGTCCTTTATGTATGATGGTCCCAGACTGTTCAGGGCTTTAAAGGTCAATACCAGCATTTTGAATTCACCCTGGAAATCAAATGAAAGCCAGTGCAGCAAAATGGGCTGGATGTGCACAAGCCATGGTGAATCAGTCAACCGCCTGGCAGCTCTATTCTGGACAACCTGAAGTTTCTGAGCCGCTTTAAAGGACAGCTCTGCAGTAATCTAGTCTGGAGGTGACTGCCGCATAAATTGCTGTGGCAAGGTCAGACCTGGACAAGTAGGGGAACAACAGACAGGCCTGGTGGAGACAGAAAAAAGCCTGTTTCACCACAGAGGACACCTTGCCTGTCCAAGGTAAGCAAAGCACCCAACCAGACCTTCAAACTCCTCACCAAGTCCACTGGAATAAGTTGGACACCATTCAGTGTAGGCAGCCATAAATCACTCATTGGCCTAGCCCTCCCCAGCCATAAGATTTCTGTCTTATTTGGGTTCTGCTTCAGCCAGCTCTGCCTCAACCACCCAACCGATGCATCCAGACACCCAGTCAGAGCTGAGAGGCCCATCTTTGGCTGTTTATTCAGCATTTTTTTTTCAGCAGGAGGAAGAGCTCGGAGTCATCTGTGTAGTGATGGCACCTGATAGCAAACCTCCTGACAAGCTCCAGTAGAGGGTGCAGTGTTTAGTTCTCGTGGCCCTTTCTTACATGCCCAGGGAAATGCTGATTGCTACTTTGGGGTCAGGAAGCAATTTTCTCCTGGCCAAAAAAGAACCAGACATTGGCAAAAGAACATGTGGACATGCCTATATATTGTAATCCACAGGGGCAGATAGAGATGTACACAATATTTTTGGATGAACATGTCGCAAAAAAAGGGCATTTGATTTTTGAGGATTGATCTTTAATAGTGAAACCTAGGGTTTTTTAATAATATTATTCTCTTCGTTATAACAACCCTGTGAGGTACAGTACTACAGTTTCTATTTTATATATGGGCAAATCACACTGTTTCCCAAGAACTCCACACAGTAAATCTTTGGCAGAAGTGAGATTTGAGCTCTATTTCCAAGGTCCAAGTATAGCTCTTAATTCATTAGTTCTCAAACAACAGGAAAAAGCTTACCATCTTTTGTGTTTAAAAACTTTTTCAAACTTTCATTTACCAGAGGAGTTTTGTTCTGCAAAAAGATAAAAATAATTAAAGATTTCCATTATTGGAAAGCAATAAAACTGCTTCACATCTAATCCCTCAACAGATTTAACATCTCATTAATCTAAAACTGTTCACATATGTATCTTTGTCTTTAAGCCATACCTACAACAAACACTACCAGAATGCAGCAAGATTAAAAGGAAATACCAACACTCTTGTTTTCTGTTTTACTGTACATCTGCTGAAATAATGGTTCTGAAAGCACATGAATCTGCCTTATACTGAGCCTGATCATAAGTCAATCAAAATCCATACTGTCTTCTCTGACTGGCAGCAGTTCTCCAGAGTCTCAGGTCTTCCACATTCAATATTACTTGATAATTGTTTAGCAAGATGCTGTGGACAGAATCTGGTACCCTCTGTAAACCAAACAGATGCTTTAACACTGAGCTCGACTCCTTAGACAGCAAGAAGGGGCTAGTTTTTACCCATAGTACAGGGCTGATGGATGCCCTTCCTACTTTGAGATAATGGCTAGAGAAATAACACAGTTTTCTTTCTAGAACTTTTTGCTTCCCTCAGAGCCTTCACGTATGAAGAAAACACAAAGTCTTCCCTCCCTTTCAAATTATTTTATCAACCCCAGACTTGGGATAATAGTAAGCACCTCAAAGAAATAAGGTCCTTGAATCTCTGTTCTAACACATAAATCTGCACCAAGCCCAAAGTAATAGTAATCTGCATTACAAGTATTATCGGAGGAAGGCAGGAAGCAGATCCATTTATGAAAAAATCTTTGCTCTTAGCAGCACTGGCAGAAAGACCTTGAAGAATGGGGAGGTGCCATACACCAATTTCTGTGTGTGTTGGTGATCTGTAGACTTTTTACAGGATTTTGTAAGCTGCCCTGAAAGCTGTATATGGTAGAAACGCAGTGTGAAAATATGTGAAATAAAATAACAATGAAAAGTTCATTATTTGAGCTTCTTACCTCTACTTTTTCTTGCTCTTCTAATGCTAAAAATACAGCTGCTCGCAATTCAGCCTGTAATTGAGAAACACTGTTTACACACAGCAGCACAAGATATCAAGCAGCTATTACGACCATTATGGGAACTGGAAAAAGCCCACTGGCCATGTACAAGCTGCTGGTGGGGAAATTGAGGCTACAGTGCCTGGTTTGGCTGCAGCATTGCCACTGGCAGGTAAGGTGGCTGCCACTGCCTGGATGAGTCACTGAGCAGCTGCCTGGCCACACTTGCTGCTCCTTCCTGGCCCTGCAGAACTGCAGCAGCCAGCTTGGATGATCATCATGATTCCATCCTTCACTGGAATGTTCTGTACCTATTTGTTCTTTCTGGGGTAGGTCATTGATTTGTACAGTTATACTACACAGGGAAGAACCCCAAGTCTGTTCTGAGAACCTTACTCTGTCAGCATTATATGATAGATGAGCAGGAGACACTCTTAGAGAGAACTGGATATGCAAAATTACTAAATAATCTATGACTGCGGTCACACGGAACAGAAGCCACACAAGTGAGACGGAAAACAGGCGGAGTTTCCGGGCGCGATCTCACCAGCACATCTGGGAAGCGTAGCACTCCCGTGGCTCAACCGAGGCTTCCAGCCGAAACTGCGTGGCAAAAAACTAGTACCTCGGAGGTACTAGTTTCCGGAAACTGCGGGGCATGGGCGGGCGTCTGATCGCGTTTCCGGTGGCATCCGGCGCCCGCCCATGTCCCCTTGCAAATAAGGTGGGGTTTTTTTGTCCAAGTCTCTGTGGATGCGCACACGCACCCAATGGAGCATGCGCATTTGTCGTGTACACACACACAAAAAAGTTTGCCGCGGCGCGCGCTTCTTCGTTGCGCGCCGGCTTGTCCTGTGATCAGCACCTCTCCCTTGCCATGGAACCTCCACGGTACCTCCACGGGAGGTCTGATCGCGTAACAGCGCAGTAGTTTGCCCCAGGGCAAACAGCCACGCTTCTCCCCCGCAGTTTCCTGCCCGTGTGACCGGGGCCTATATAGCACATCACTGTGGTTAAATCACAGAACACAATTAGTGATAACACAACTCCTAACAATTCAGCTGCAGTTTAATTTGCTTGGTGTTCAAGCCAACCTATGGCAAAAAAAAGGGGGTCAGTTTATTTTCACATTCACCTTTGTGGGACAGAAACTCTGTCCCTGATTGTGTTTGCCCAGGCCAATTTGAGAAAACACACAAAAGCAAGCAGTCCTGTAGAGCAGAATTTAAACTAAAATAAAACTTTATTAATAAAGGAGGGAAGCACGGGCTCAACAAGATTTTGAATCCCACAGCTCTCCCTAAGGTTACAATGGGAGACATAGGGTTTTATACTTCACATTACATCAGAGAAATAAAACAGAATTATTGGTTCCATCAAGCATTGTCAAATTCCATCACCTATTTCCCATTGGGTTAAGACCTGGAGGCGGGGGTTGTTCCCAGGCAGAGTTCTTTTTTTTCCTATCAGAACAATACACTTTTCTTTCAGAAACTATGAAGCTGCATGTTGTATCTATATAACTGATATGGTTACAGAGTGCTTACTGTTCTTCATTCTAGCTAGGTTAACTGACATCAGAAACATGTGCAGTTGTAGCTGGCCAGAATGAGCAAGGTCATGGGTACCATAACTGTGTATCAGCATTTCAGTCTTCTTCCCAGCATGCATTCAAACAACAGTCACAAATGAACCAAAGTTAATACCTGAATACATTCATGATGTTAGAATCATGTGTATTATGGAAGTGCTAAGTATACCTACTAAGTTAAACCTGTTAGGCAGTGGCAGAGTACAAAGTGGTTCATAAAATATGCGTACAACACCTTCCAGGTTACTGAGACTTTTCTAAAAGGGATTTCATCCAATATTCATATTTTCACAGCCGACCAGACAAAGTTCCAGAGATGCTAAACTGACCACTTATGTATGCTCTGAAAGAAGGAACCGACTGGGAATACTTCAGAAGACAGAATTTATACTCCCTTGTGCTTGCCATATGGCCAGTTTAGCGGTTTTAGCAATTAAAGTGAAATACACATTTGGTTTCCAGTGTGAAGCAACGATCCATGAACTCTCCCTAACAGTTTTTGTATTAGGCGCTGTGCGTTTGTAACGCCCCCACCCCACACAGTTGGCTACGAAAAAAGGTGGTCATATTGTAACGAATTGGCAATTATTCTCCTTCCAAAAAGTGCACTGACTCTCTGACAAGACCCATTTATTGCGCCGGCACAGCCTGGCTACAAATCCCAAGGACAAGCACGTGTAACGCCCTTCCAGAAATGCGGCCCGGGAGCAACAAGGAACCCCCCCCCCCTCCGTCGCTAACGGGTCCACCCACGCGCCCTGAGAGGTAGATCGCGCGCGCCGCTGAAGCGCTGAGCGGAATGACAGTTGGAGGACCGTTAAGTGTCGCCTGGTTCCCCCCGAGGGCCGCTCCACCACGACCACACGCCCCTTCCGGCGTCATCTGAGGGCACAGACCGAGTCTTTGCGAACCCACCTCCACCTCTTCACAAACACAAATTCTTCCCCGGACCCTCCGCACCTTTATTTTATTTAGCACCCCGCTGGACTCCAGCGTCTGCACGAGGAGATCCCTCAGCTCTGTGTCTTCCTCGGTCCCTGCCGCCATCTTTATTCACCCTGACAACCGCCTAAACTGAGCTGGCGATGGGTCGCGCCTCGCAGATTCGCCGCTGTTAAATACGGAAAGGCCTTTGCTTGGGAAGGCTGACGCTCAACCGTCTTAGTGCTGGACTCGCCACTCTGCTTGGAAACAAGAGCCACATAAGCAGTCCTAGGGCCCGCGCTTGGAGGCGCGCAGAATGTGCGAATGCGAACCGACGAACAGCGATTCAACTCTACGATTGGCTGGCGGGAACAAGAGGCGGGAGGTTTAGAAGGAGGTTATCTGTCTTTCATGCCCTCATGCGTTTTATTTGTACTGAAGTGGTCTCTGCCTTGCATGGCAGATTATTTCTGAGCGTTTCTCCGAGGGAAGAGGAACATAGGTGTGTGATGGTCATGCAAAAAACAAGAAGGGCCATTTTATTTGATTTCTTTTTTGTAATAATAGGTTAGAATAGTAGATTGCAATATAACCTAATGAATAGTAGAAACTGGAATGTATTTCTCTGGTCGGAGGACAGGGGAGATAAATCTGCACAGCCAATCAGCCCACTTCGAAAAAGAAGATGCTGTAAAGTCGCCTCCATACTTGAGAGGAGATGGATGGCAGGGAATTACTCTCAGCATCCCACAATTAAGGATACATCAATCAACAATTAAGGATTATTTCCTTCACTGTTTTCCCCCCAGAACTGAACCCAAACAAATGGTAACCATATAAACTATAAGCTTATTATCCCTGTTTGATCCTTGAATCTGTTAAACATCTTCATTATGCTGTATGATAATTTACTGCTCACCCTCTACCCATATGTATGGACTAGTAATTTCCATTTTTGTTTCTGTCTTTGACTTGACTAATTGGCCCTTCCTGGCAACTAACACCCCCCACACACACACACACATCCTGTCTCTTCCTACATGTAGTGGTTGAGGAAATTCTGTTCCACTGTATCTGAAGAAGTGTTCTTGCACACAAAAGCTTATATCTTGAATAAACCTTTGTTGGTCTTAAAGGTGCCACTGGGCTCAAACCCAACTCCTGGAGATCTGTCTGCCCCAGAGGCACTCCCCACATGTTCTGTCCCTTTAATAGAGGCTTCATGGAAAGCTGACAGGAATAAAATTGATTCATTTCAAATGTGGTGTTGGTTGGAGGAGAGTTTTGCTGATACCTTAGTGTTGGGATTCTGAGATTCAATATCGATGGTCGTTTTGCAAACACAAGAGCCACATTAGTAAAAGAAAAAATATCTTTACTACAAAACAAAATAAAGCATGGGTAAGGTACTTTGGATAAAAGAAATACAATGAAAAGGTTACATACTTGCAGTTACTTTCAGTACTAAAATGCTAACAGCTACATCTTTCTATCTGTGTTGGCTTCTAGAGGGGAGCTTTCTGTCTGGTTCACACAAAGAGCCATAAACCTTGTGAATACATGAATGCTAGATCAAAGCATTTCCACAAACAAGTTGTTAGTTGACCAATACAAAGGTTACAGGTCACTTCATTAGGCTAAACAACTCCCACAAACTTTCCCGCGGTAGAATACATTATGTAACGTAACATCCTGTTTCCTAACAAACAACACTTAACTCTGTAATGATTGAAGTGTAAGCAACTTGAAACTCCAACACTTAGACCACCAAAAAGACAAATAAGTGGGTTCTAGAGAGCCAGTTTGGTGTAGTGGTTAGGAGCATGGACTCTAGGAGAACCAGGTTTGATTCCCCACTCCTTCACAGGAAGCTGCTGGTATGACCTTGGGTCAGTCATAAGTTCTTTCAGAGCTGTTCTCTCAAGGGCAGTTTGTAGAAGAGCTCTCTCTCAGCCCCACCTACCTCACAGGGTGTCTGTTGTTTGGAGGGGAAAGGGATTGTAAACTGCTCTGAAACTCCTTTGGGTAGTGAAGGGTGGGGTATAAATTCAAGCTCTTCTAGATCAGATCAACCCTGAAGACCCAATATGAGATGGATTGACTAAATAAAAGAAGCCACAGCCTTCAGTTTGCAAGGCCTGATCAAGGCTGTTAATGATAGGATGTTTAATTAGTTCTTAGGGTTGCTATATGTTGGAAGTGACTTGATGGCACGTAACACATACAATAGGTTGTTAATTACTGTATGATGTTTACTTCCATGCAAAGCTTTAACTGGCCATTTTCACACAAACCTTTATTCAAGGGACAGGATGATTTTCTCTGGGTCTGTTGGCATCCCTGAATAAATGCTTTAACAAAGGCATAATATATTATTTTGCGCATTCACCTATATATGGTGGCCAGACTGCATAGGATCACAGTAAACTCCCATAATAGAAACCTGTTACAATTCAATATATAAGACTATTGAACTGGACAAAGGATGACTATGTGAAATGGTCCCAGTTCTTAAAACAATTGTTTGTAATAGGACTAGCGTTTGGGACATGTAGTTTCTGTAGTTATGCTGCAGGGGGCACTAAAAAGCTATGCTTTAATGTACTTTGAAAGCTACAGTATTCACAAAAGCTTAATATATATGTTTTATTTTAAAACAAACAAATATAATCCCTACATTTATTTATTTATTTATTATTTATTTGTTTGTTCAAATTTATAGCCTACCCTCCCCGCAACGGGCTCAGGGTGTTTCTCCCTTTCTCCCAGACGATTGGAACCCAAAGGCAGATAACCTTTGCTCAGGGCTCAGGGAGGCGTTGCCGCTCGGACATCACATGCAAGAGGTCATTCTGGCTCCCTCAGCCCTCCTTGGGGGCTCTTTAAAAAGTTATGGCCGCCGGCACGTTCTGTCAGCGGAGCCGGAATGGGGGTCCGGGGGGGGGGGGGGGGAACGTTTTTTCGCCTCCCTGAGCCCCGGGCGGTGGCCTCGGACTCATAGGGGCAAATTCCACCTCTTGCGCGTGATGTCCGAGTAGAGAGGTCATTCTGGTGTTGGATCCCCAAGCATCGAGAATAAATCCACGTTTTCAAGAAAAGCAAAATTTATTTCAAAGCATTGGAAAGACACTCAAACACGTTCTTTGTTAGAACTGACTACAAACAGTTAGGGCAAGCATAATAAAGGGATTTGAAACAGATACAGAACCAATGGGTCACTTTCCCGCTGGCGGGTGAAAGGAAACGGTTGCGCGCTCATTCCCTGAGAACCAGGCTATCTCCAGACATAACACAGGTGCAGTTCTCAGGCTCTAAAAGCAACAAGCTGGCAATGAAGCGAACTCCCCCAAAACGTCCTCCAGTTGTTTGGCTTAGGCATTACAGCAGAGTAAAATAATAGCACCCAGGCAAGGGGGGGGGTATCAACTATACAGAAGAACCAGCAACACAGAACACCATGGCAGCTTGCTGACATACTGCCCCCTCAAAAATACACATTAACCACCGTCTCCCGGGCTGGGCGGGAGAACTCCCGGTTTGGGCGGGAGACCTCCCGGTTTGGCCGGGAA